AACGGCTTTTGGGGTTGAGGGGTTTAAGCTTAGCATTCTTTAGCCTCGAACTTGTTGCGACTTCGCAGCAAAGCCATTCACCTTGATTGCGAATTTATGAGGCCGACACCACAACCTCCAACATGTGCAGGAAAGCCTCTCTCCTTAAACGTCACGGCAAGTAAACCCCAAGCCCTCTATCGTGCTGAGTGCTGAAACCCAACAATCCCGAAGCGGATCAACGCATCTGGACCCAGAACCCGAAAAAAGCTCGCTTCTAGCTTAAGCTGTCGACCTCTAAAATTGGAAACGAAGAGTTTGGCCCCTGTTCCATGCTCTGCATAATCCCGAACGTACCATTTGGAGGCCAGATGTTAGCCCTGCGCCCTAGAAGCCCGAAGCACCAATGACCAAGGTATACCATGGGACTTAGTAAGTAAGGTTATAGGTACCTTAATTGGGGTTATAAGAGTTATAAGTAACTATAAGAACAATTACCCTAATTATGACCCTAATTACTGAGTCCCATGATCCTTTAAGTACCCTGAATCGTCCATCCTGCGTGCTGACCGCAAGCTGCTCAAATTTTAGACTATGCCGGGTGCCGAGCGAACGTGCTGGAAGTCCACCGTCGCAGGCTGCGAAGCAAAATGGATGTTTCAAAGGGGAAAAGGAGGGACCCTTAATGGGGACCCCTACCCTACAATCGGCTATATAATGGGTATATAATGGCTATATTAAGGGTATATACCTAGGGGTCCTTATTAAAGGTCCCTCCTTGTACCCTTGGAATGTTGGTTCACTTCTTACCTCCTCAGCATGGAGCCCATACTGTAATCTTCGCACTTCCAGCATGCTGCTGCGCGCTGACATGGCAGCTAAGGAACAGTACCATGTGAGTTTCTCAGGCTCCTACAGAGTTTCGCTTCAAAGACCATCGACAAAGCCAACGCCACAAGAACTAGGCCAATCTCAACACAAAGATTCAAGCATCTATCCACACCTGCGTGTCCGGTTTGCAGGTGTTCAGGTGCTGAGTGTTCGGGAAACAAGGGCCTGAGCAATTATGCAGAATTTGGGGGTTATGGTTTTTCATAACTATGTAGGGAACTACAAGGGCACAGGAACCGATTCGGATTTCGGCTTCCAGCAGACGAAGTCATGCTAGGCGAGTTTGCAGGAAGCTGCAGATTAAAAAGCTTTAGAGCGTGAGTGAGGCTTCAACTAAGCCGATGAAGGTAAAGCCCTACGGCCTGACCTTTTCTCCGAAGGCGCTACAACCTCCCCGAGCCTAAACCAAACAATGCGGATTCAGTGCTACGTAGGTGCTATAGACCTTAAGCACGTAGACCTGCGAATCCCGAGCGTGAGTGGCACTTGCACCGCTGTCAGGTTTAACACTCCAAACCTTCAGCCCCAAAAAAGGACACTCGCATTCTGGGAGGAATATGATACCGTACTCAAATAGCCATGACATGGTAGTAGCACCTTGTGCAAATTATTCAATTCAGACCCGCCCGTCCCTCAGGACACAACCCTGGAGCCACAAATCTCGCTCTTCCTTAAACCTTTGCCGCAAGAATGCAAAAGCTGCCCCGAAATGAAATGGATCCCGACGAAACTTCTCCAACCCGCTCCCGATTTCAGAGTGTCAGAAAGCAAGGGTCGAGCTTTCGACCCAAACAATAGGATCCTCAACAAAACAATGCCCCCTGAATAAGGACTGCTTTTCCTCGACCAAAGACGCCCAAAAGGCTCTCAACTGTTGACAGCACTTCGTGGATCCCGAAACTCGAAACCCTAAATACTAAACCCAAAACCTTTTGAATCTTAACTCCTGACTCCCGAAATCCCTTCTGCATAAACTCCCTAAGAAGGCTTAAGGAATACTAAACCCCTAAACGCTCAAAGAAACCCTAAACCCCTAAACCCTCAAAGCAACCCTGAACCCCAAGAAAAAAAAAGAAACCTTAAAACCCTAAACCCTAAACCTGAAACCCCTGAACCCTACTTCAAGGATCATGGGGGACTTAGTAACTAGGGTTATAATTAGGGTAACTGTACTTGTAACTACTTATAACCCCAATGAAGCTACTTATAACCTTACTCACAAAGTCCCATGATTCTCCATGTACACCCCAACCGGGCCTTCGCATGCTTGCCCTTAGGCTGCACGGTGACGGGCTGCGTCGAGGAGATGCGCCCCTGTCAGCGCTTCAGGGCTTCAGGGCATCGGCTCCAAGGCTTTAGGGCTTAGGGATTAAGGGTTTAGGGGTTTAGGGGCTTTAGGGCTGTAGGGCTTAGGGGGTTTGGGGGCTTAGGGGTTTAGGGGTTTAGGGCTTTAGGGCTTAGGGGGTTTGGGGGTTTAGGGGTTTAGGAGTTTAGGGTAGTACCCTGACTTAACCCCACATAGCCAGATTTTTATGGACGAAAAGCAGTGAGGGTCCGGTTTAGGGTTGGAGGATTCGGGTTGCTGGGTTTTGGGTGTAAGAGCTTGGGGATTTAAGGTTTAAGAGTTTAGTAAGTTTAGTGTCTGAGGGTTGGGTTGGGGGTTTAAGGTTTAAGAGTTTAGTAGGTTTAGTGTCTGAAGGTTGGGGGCTTAAGGTTTAAGAGTTTAGTAAGTTTAGTGTCTGAGGGTTGGGGGTTTAGGAGGGTGTAGGGCTCTATCCTTTTCACAGCGAGCCACGCCCAAGGATTTAGCATCTGCGTCCAGTAAGCCCTTACAGTATGCGTGTCCAAAGGTGCCACCATCCGATTCCAGACAGTTCCCTTTGCACAGCTCCCTTCTTAAAGGATCATGGGACTTAGTAACTAGGGTTATAATTACGGTAACTATGCTTGTAACTACTGATAACCCCAATTAAGGTACTTATAACCTGACTCACTAAGTCCCATGATCCTCCAAGTGTACCGAAGCCGTGGATGCGGAGACCGCAAGTTCGCTTTGGGCATGTGGTACGATTGGGGCTTCTACTTGAAGCGAAGCGTCAGGGTTCAACTCCTGCGCTTTCTGGCTTCAAGGATACAACTCCTGACTATGCTTTAAGCTTTGCGACCTGTCCTGGAGCTCGATACATTAGGCTTGGGGGTTAAGGCCCTGAGGGCATCGAAGATTTACGGGATAACAGGATGCCAACAGAGCCCTGCTTTCCCAAGAGCCTCCGGAGGCAAATTCACATCGGCCATGATGTAGCCCACTTCCCACTTACCTCAGGGCTTGCTGATCCCTAAACGGCACCGGGGCTATCAACTGAAAGAGCCAAGTCAGAGGCAGTCCGGAAACAAACATACCCCTGAGCATTACTAACTAGGATGGTGCTTTTGAGGTCGGTTATACTGCGCTTGTAAGAGGGAAGCCCACAGGAAGGAGCACTCATCATTGATGCTTCTACATCTTGAAACTTGGACCATGTAGCTTGGATCCACCTGAGAAGCTGGTGCAATCGGCCAAAGCCTTCGAAAACTGGCTTGAAAGCCGTCGGCGCATTCCCCCTGAGTCCTCATATAAGGGATCCCACATGCTTTCCTGGACCCTGTGCCCAAAATTCTGAGAAAAAACAACAGCACCCCTACAGAAAGCTTAAGGAACCCTGGAACCCTGACTGCGATCATTATTCGAACCCCTAAATCACATAAAACGAACGGAGGGGCAGAATACCCCACACCCCACCCGACTCCAACCCAAAACCCTAAACCCTAAATCCTGAACCCTAACTCTAACCTAAGACTATCCCTTACTAGCCGAAGCTGAAGCCGAACTTTGAGCCTGACGCTAACCCCAAGCCTCATCTTAATATAGGAGTTTCCGAAAATGCGGGGTACCGTACCTTATAACAAGGGTCCTACTGTTTAGCGTGCTTGTTTTAGGGTCCCCTATGTTCGGAAACTCCCATTTTGAGTACTTCTCTAATCTCAGCCTTTCTACTAAGCCTGAACCTGATTAAGGAACCTTGGGCCTTTAATAGGGTTCTTTATATGGTGTTGTAGGCCCCGGGTTTCTTAATCAGGTTCCTACACTACCGGCCTATAATATAACCTTGAACCCTAAACCCCTAAACCCCTAAACCCCTAAACCCAAGTACCGGCCGAGCCTTCGATGTGCGCCTGGACTTGGTCACCTTCCGAAAATCCGGCTTTGGCTTTCGGGATCATGGGACTTAGTAAGTAAAGGGCTCCTTTAAGGGCTCCGTTAAGGGATCTAGAGGGTTTAGGGTTTACGGTCTACTTGGGAGGATCATGGGACTTAGTAGGTAAGGTTATAAGTACCTTAATTGGGGTTCTAGGTCGTTGCAGCTATACTTACCCTAGTCACAGACCCAGCTGAAAAGCAGAGCTTTGGCTTTGGGGATCAGGATTGAAGGCTTGAAGTGATTAAGTGTAGGGATTCTTGGACAGCTTCGGTGCCCTATCTGGGATTTAGGGGTTTAGGATTTGGGGCGATTTAGGGTGCATAGACGTATTTAGGGACATCTTGGATTTGAAAGAGTTAGGCTTGGGGATTTGCGCTCAGGGTTCGACTCGCGAGGTTTCGGGTCAAGAATTCTGGAGATCAGGTTCGAAAAGACTGCATCTTTGATCTTGCCGCAGTTGCGCTGCGCTTGTTCTTCTCCTTTTTTTAAACCTGCGCGACAGAAGCACAACACTTCCGGCAATGCTTCCACGGCTTGCCAGTCCTCGATGCATTGGCATGTTTCTGAATCTCGCCGCGATTCTGAGCAAGACCTTGCGCCCCGTCGGTCCGCACGGCCAAACAAGTCACCTTTGGAGGCGTCAAAGAGACAAGCCTCGTGAAGCTGTGCATTGCACGTCACTGCCTGCACAAGCTATACGCAGTAATACAGACGTACAAATAACACGCTTTCAATACAGGTTGTGCTGCCCATCACTGCAGCAAGAGCTATAAAGCCAGAGCAAAAGAGGCTCCGTCACTAAGCAAACCGATGCTGGGTGAGCCCAGCACGACAAAACTCGAAAAGACGGAGGACGAGGCCTCCAGACTCAGAAGAAGAGGATGCACGAACTCAGGAGGACTGGCCGCCAGCAGCCAGTGAAGGGTCAGCGCCACCGAAGTCAGAGCCCAGAGGTGGCACCACAGCCCCATCATCGGGAGCCCGCTCACGGGGACGAAGTCCATGCCGACGGAGCTCACGATGGAGAGCCTCACCAGAAGCAGCAGAAGCCTGAATGGCACGAAGTTCCCAAAACCTGGCATCATTGCGATGCAGCCACCAGGCCTCGATGGCGCCACCAGAGAACCTGCGAAGGCGGCATGCTCCAGCAGCCTCGTCGGCGGAGGCGTTGAGCTTGCGGAGAAGGTCGCCACAAAGGCCAGGAGGAGCATGCCATCCTGGTCGCTTCCCGTGGCTTGGGACCCAAACACACGTGACGGCCACTCCATGACCACGAAGAGCCCGAAGAGAAGCCTTGATCGAGTCAACAATCTTCAGGTAGTAGCAAAAGCTGTCACCTTTCTGCAGAACGAGGGTAAGGGCCGACTGGCAGTCGAGGACAAAGACAACACGTCGAGCCCACAAGGAGCGAGCAGCAACTTTAAGAACCGCCTTGGCAGCGAGTTCAAAGCCGAGGAGCTCCTGCTTGAAGGGCGACTGGTCTTCATCGGCCGTGCCCAAAGCACACACGAAGTCGCCCGGGTGAACTGCCACAGCGAAGGCGCCGACTTTTTTGTCCTCGGAGCCGTCGGTTGCGACGAAGAGAACCGCAGGGTCCAGGGAGAGCTGGGTGTCAATGGCCTCAACGAGGTCGTCAAAGCACTCCTGCGGAGCAACAGCTGGTGGAGGCGGAGGTTGTTCCGGGGCCCCCCGAAGGAGGAGTCTTTCTTCGCACCTGTCGACCGGCAACTGCAGACCCTCCCGAAGTGTGGCAGTTTTCTCACAGTTCCACAAAAGATGGGCCCTAGAAGGAGCCCGAAGACCACACAGGCAGCGCCAGCGATCATGGGTGGCATCAAAGTTGCCCCCAGCATTGAAATGCCAGCACGAGCTGCCCGCACCCAAAGCCGAAAGAGTGACACTGCGGAGGCCCATGGAGATCGCTGTGTGGAGGCCATCAAAATAGTAATCCTGATGCCTCCCAGGCGCTGGCAGATCAAGGCCAACCGCAAGGCTTTCGTCGTCGCGATGGAGTCTGCGTTGAACTCGGCCAGTGCGGGCAACATACAGTTGCCTAAAGTGCTGCACGAGCCAGTCTTTCACAACACAAAAACCATCAATGCCCGGTCGGAGAGTGCGCACCCGGCCAGATCGGTCAGTTCTGCACACCTCAGTTGAAGCAAAATCAACCTTCCAATCAAGCTTCCGGAGAACCTCAGGGAGTTCCGGTAGCATGGTCCTCCATCGAAAACGGGCCTCACTTAAAGCAACAGTGTCGAGCCAACGAGGTTGTTGGATGCTGGCCTTCCATAGAACACGAAGGGCGCCGAGGTCGCATGCAAAGTCCGGTTGCAGGTTCCAGCCAATTGCCTCATAAAGGCACACCTTCGCAAACCCAGCCGTGAAGCCATGGTTGAAAACGTTCTCAATGTCAGCTTTGATGGCGGTCAGGTCGTCACGGTCACACCTCGCAAAGCCGGAGGCCCACGCAAAAGGCGGGACTACCAACGAGGCCAGCAAGAACTTTTGGTGATCAGTGTTACGCGTACACCACCCAAGAAGCCTGGCACGAAGGATAGCCTTCCGAGCATGATATTTCAGGAGAGTCCACTCACCCCGAAAAGTAGCCCTGACTCCAAGGATCTCGAGGTCGGGCATCACCTGGAACTCAAGCTCAGCAGCTAGGGCCCGGAGTTCGGGACCTAGAGTTGGGGCCACGACGGAGCATTTGTCAACCGAGAGTCGCAAACCAAAGGCACGATCATAGGCAGAGGACCTTGCCATGGCATCCCGAAGGGAGTCAGTCGGAGCCCCAGCCTTGGCCCAGACCGTGCGGTCATCGATGTAAGCCAAAGCGCCGAGGGAGCGCGAAGAATTGCCGATCACAAAGGTAGACCAAAGGTACGAAAGTAAAGCCGCAATGACAGGAGACAGGGGGCAGCCCTGAGCGATCCCTGAAGAAACACTGCTCCAGGAAGGGTTGAGGGATCCCGACAAAGAGAAGATTCTCTCGGCGCCGTTGTAGAAGTCGGTCAACACCGCAAGCACCGGCTGAGGGAAGCGCATATGGGTAAGAGCCCGCTGCAGAGCACCGATGTGGATGCTGTCGAAGTAGCTTTTGATGTCGGATTGGATGAACGCCACGGCACCATCGGTCATGGCCTTTCGGATCTGCATAAGGGCGGCCTGGACACTCGTCCCAGGAAGGCCGCCAGCAGCAGTATGGTCTGCCCAGCTAGCCACCCATGGGCCCAGTTGGGTCTGAATGACCCTGGCCCCAGCCCTCCAAAGACTGCACAACAAAGTGATCGGTCGGGTTCGTCTGCGCTTTTTCCACAGGAGGGTGACCCGGGCCTTGCGCCATTGGGCAGGAACCTTGCCGGTAGCAAGAATCCGGTTCCAGAGTGCGGCGGCCCAGCGAAACCAAGCAATCGGGAGCTGCAAAAGGTCCGAGGGAAGCCAACCGTCGGCTCCACCCGCCTTTCCACGCATCACAGAAGTCGCACACATCAGAGCCTCGGCTTCGATGACAAGGTGAAGGTCCTGTGCAGGAGGGCGAGGGATTTCGCTCAGAACATTATCGATGGCATTGAGGTTGCCAGCAAAAGGAGCTTGCCATTGACGGAGCCAGTCATCAGCCTGCTCCTTCACTGCAATGGCAGGGTGCCACCCGCCAGAGGCAGTCGAGATGTCCTCGGGGTCCTCTTCCCACGCAAGCTGCTCATCAGCACGACGTTTGACATAGGAGCGAACAGTCCTGAGGTCCTGATTCATGCGATCTTGCCATCTACGAAGGTGAAGACCACGCTCCACCTTGTGCACCGCAGCCACTCGGGACTCAACGAGCCTCACCGCCTCCTCCTCGCCACACTGTAGCCGTGGAAGGTCAGGAAAGAAAGAGCGAGCCCGGGCGCACGTAGCTTGGCAAGCCTTAGTCAGAGGGCGATCCCACGGCCGAAGAACACAAAGCTGGAGCTGGCGAAGCAGCCGTCGTAAGGTACGGAGCCCAGGCGACTGATCCAAGTCATGGTCCGTGTCCTTGCGTCGTTTAGGGGGCCGAGGGGCCCAGTCCGCAGACCGAGGCACCTGACCCGCAGCAGCCGGCTGGTAGAGGAGGTCCTCGGCGTAGTCCGACATGAAGGTCCAGGCTTGGTCCAAGTCCTTGTCAAGAAGGTCCTGGAAATGCCTCTCCTCCGCCACAGTGAAAGAGAAGTCGGCGCCACAAGGATCCTCAAGGGGAGCCCGTCGCCGAGGAGGAGTGACCAAAGTACTTGGCGCATTCCCGTCAAACTGGTACACCACAACACGATGGTCGGAAAGGGAGCCAACCTCGGCCTCCGGCACATGTAAGACCTTCACCGCCACAAAGTCGCGCATGGTGAGGCCGTAGTCGATTCGCCGCCGCCGGGAGGCGCCATTGTGTTTAGGGCCAGTAAGGGGAAGCGGTTCTCCTCGAGCTGCCTCGTCACAGGCACGACAGACACCACGTTGGATGGTTTCAGCAATGCAGCCCTCCTCCTGCGCGGTATTCCAGTCGCCAAAGAGAAGGGACGGCCGGCCAGAGTAATCGGCCGAGACCAAAATATCCCGAGCCTGGGCATCTGCTGTGGCGACCTGCCCGCTCTGCAAGTAGACCGCAACACACAGCACCGACATGGTCCTGCCAGCGACCTGCAAATCAATAAAGGCAGCCGCGTGTCGTGACAAGCCGTCAGCCTCGCACAACTTGACAGCTTTTAGAGGAATCTTGCTGAGCAGAGCAACCCTACAAACACCTTGTTCAGGGAGACTAAGCTGGACATGCCAGCCGTGCCGCTTCCACTCCTTGGCCCAAGAGGCCCTCGAATCAATGTTCACATCCACCTCACTAACAGAGACCAGGGAAATCTGCCAGGCATCAAGGAGAGGCCTCAGGGAGGGCCCGAAGGACACCCCTTTCCTGGCAGCATTGATACACATGGCCCTCAAAAACACGGCGAGCCGGGCTTGGCCAGAATGGCCTTCGCAACGTCGAAAAGCGCAAGACCCTTATCCCTCGAAGCACCACCGACCTTACTCGCAAGAAGCCGGGCCTTGTCCTTGTCGAGATTCTGGAGACGGAGCCTGACAAGGGCCTTCACCTGACTCGGTCGGGGTCCATGCGAGCACTTGTCCTTAAGATGCTGCTTTGCCAGAGCGTTTGTGCGGCAAGGGGCAAAACATGACTTGCAGGCCCAAGCTGGCGGGTATCGGATGGGATTGGCCCTCTTGCCCGCAATCTGCTTGCCGACAAACTGGGGCCACCTAAAAAATTCAAAGTGCTTAAGAAGCTCAGGATGATCCTTGGAGTGCTGCCGAAGAAGAGTCTTGTGCCGCGTAGCGGAACTAGCCATGACTCTGGCACTATAATCAGCTCCTCGCCACTTTTTCCACGACAACCTCGGATGGAAGGTACGTTTGTGGAGGTTCTTGTCGCGAGCCATGCGCTCGATGCAAGCGATAGCGGCCTGCTCACTGGTGATGCCATAGGAGCAGAAATTGCAACGCCAAGCGAGGTCCTGATCAGCGGAGACCTCAACGACGGTGCTGGGCATTTGCGCATGGTAGTTGGCAACTCCAGAAGGAGTTTGGCCGCGATGCTGCGACTTGAAATGAGCCGCCATGCGGTGCCTGGCGATCGTCTCATCTTCGGTCTTGTAAGTGAAGGGGCAGAGCCTGCAACGAGCACAGCCACCTTGGATCCACTGACACAGCTTTGGCCGCCCTTGGCCACGGCGAGGCTTGGCTCCAATACAGTCCTCAAGAGCCTGGAGCTCCGCCTGGGTGGGGCCTTTGCGCACTGTCGTGGCCGTCTTGGCCACAGAGATGCCGCGACCCTTACCACGCGAAGAGGGAGCTGTCTTGGCGACTTTGGTGAGCTGGCCTCGTCGCCGAGAGTGGCTGGTTACCGAAGTGGCAGCCTGAGAAACTCCACGAGCACGGGGCACAGCAGCAGAGGGCCCACTCGAGTCACTGCATGCTTCACTGATCCCTCCAACCAAGAACCCACCATTGGGATCCGCGTCCACCGAAGCTACTTCTTTAGGGTACTTCCCCGAGTCCGGTTTGAGGTAGTCGAAGTGCTTGTCGGCGAAAAAGATGGCACCAAGGTCCTGGTACTTCTTCTTCCCATAGCTGCACACCGCCCATCTGTCGTCTGCCGGTATGAGCACGATGCGGGTGGAAAAGAGCTTGCAAAGTGCACGCAATTCCGTCTCGCCACTGTATTTGCCCGGCTTTGTGATCTCCTGGATAAAGGTCTTCCAGTCCTCAACCGGTTTGCCATCAGGGCCTGGGCTGCCGTCTGCAGCCCAGGCGGGCTGATAGTCCTCTTCGTGTCGTTCCAAGTGGTCCGCGACACGAGCGCGGAGGTCCCAGTGGTTGATGGCAGTTTTTTGACCTTTAGCACAACGGTAGGCCTCGCCGAAGGCGTGATACAAACAATTCCCGTCCTTCGGGACGGTGACCAGAGTGCATCCCGTCGGGATGCTCCTACGCGAGACCTTGGCTCGCTTGGTGTCGTTTCCCTCGGCCTTCGGGTCCTCCGTGCCATCGTTGCCCTGCCCCTCGGCCTCAAGAGTGGCGCCCGCGGATCCAGTCGCATCGCCCATTTGAGCATCGCCATTGTCGTCGGACTCCCGGCCACGGGTGACGGGGACAGAAGCAAAGGGGTCCACAGTGGCGGCGACAAACGGCATAGCACCACCACGAAGCTTCTTCTGGCGAACTTGCTCCTGCTTAGGCGGAGCCAGGGCCGCCCACAGCATGAGTCGAGCATCGTCACCATCCTGAGCGGCAATCGGGATAAGGTCGCTATCAGGGCCCGGTTTGGCCGCTCCTCGAAACATGAAGACCTTGTCGGAGCCACGAACATGTTGCCTGATGAGCTTGACCTCGTGGAAGTAGCCATCCAGGATGTCAGCGGCTTGCTTCATGTCCCAGTGCTTTGGGCAGCCATTGAGGTTCCATATGCGGGAGAAGCGAGTGTTCTCGTCGATCGGCTTTTTCCATCCAAGACGAGTCCCACTAACCGCCAGGCCAATGGATTGAGCTCGCATGGCACGTGCATAGTAATCCCGGTCCGACTCTTTGGTAACACGATCTATCCACTCGATGGTGACCTTCTCCTTCTGGCTGCCAGGAGGAAACACGAAGACGCCACCATGCCCAGCCAGGCCGAGCAAGGTCGGATGGTCTCTGGTCGGAGCCCTCAGGATGCCAAAGACCTGCCTTGTTCCATTGGAGAGCTTCTCCTCTGCCCACTGCCACGAATCGGTGAGCTGCACATGGTGGCCCGCGGCCCAGCTGGCTATAGCCGATTTGGGCCGTTGCAAGAAGCCTGTCCACACATCGGCGGAGCAGTACGCTTGTGGCACCTTCACAAAGAGGACACCCGTTTCTCGAGCTTCGACCTTGAGCGGTGCCTTGATGCCCTTGGGCTGAGGAGGACCTTTGCCCGCAGTGGCATGCTGAACCGCCAAGCCCTCGCGAAAGCGAATCAAGGACCCGATCTTCCCAGGAATGGATTGCTTGACACCCGCCTCCTTGGCTAGCTCGTGTTTCTCAAGCTCTTTCTTGGTCAAGTCAACAGCCACAAGGAGGACGGAATACTCACGATTGGAGGCACCGAGGAGCCGCTTGGCAATCGAGATCTCTGCCGCCTTGCAATGTACGACCGCCTCAAAGCACCCCTTGGGGTCGGCCGCCTCGAAAGTAGTGGCTAGGTCCCCGAAGGAGATGAGTTGGCTACTCCAATCCTGAGGCCTAAGCATGAAATCTTCAGCCTGGCTAGGCTTGCGCTGCACAAGCTTCCACTCGTCACTGGCGGAAGGGGTTGAAGGGGTCGCGGGGGTGGGGTTGGGCGTGTGTTTGCCCTTGCCCTTACCTTTGCCTTTACCCTTCGGTTCGTTGCCAGCTGGGCTGGCTGGCACGGTGCCAGCCTGCCCTTGAGAGCCGCCGGCCCCGCCCTTTTTCTTAGCAGCCTTCTGCAGTTTCTGCTTTCTCCGCTTTTTGGCCTTGGCGCTCAGCCGGGACTGTGGCAAGGCGGGCCCCTGCATGGTTGATCATGTCCCGCAACATGGACTTAAGATCAAAACCGCAACTCTGCAACAAGTCTGGGAGGCCCCCGGTCGGTTGTCGTGGTCCCGGGTGGCTCGCTTCTCCAACTCTCACTCCGACATACGGGCTATGGCCCCCGTGCCGTGCAACACAATGTGCAGCAAAGGGCCAGCACTCACGGCAGAAGCTCCTAAAGTGCATGCCTAACCTAGAACATCCCTCAGCACAAGTGCCAAACGGAGCGAAGAGACATGTGGCATGCAAGCAGCAAGCGACCCTAGCACTCACACACTCAGTCCTGTCCTCGAATCCGGCCTCGCAGTGGTAGTCGTCAGGGCTCCCAACGTCGCAGTGGAAGGCCGGGTCCTCCTCGTAGCCCCCGCCGTGGATGCCAGGGTGGCCGGAATCAAAGGTGTAGACCTCGCCGAGCAAACCAGGACACCAGCCAGCAGCTAAAGTGCAGTGGGATTTGTCGTTCACGTCATCATCTGGCTGCCCATCGCCAAAAGCCAGAAGTTCACCTTGTAGGCCATAGCATCGTGAAGCACCAGCGGCTCCAACCATGCCCAGGTCCTCGACAGAGTGGCCGCCACAACCCCCCAGTCCCGAGCTCGGGTGGCCATGGCAAGCGCGGTCGCCAAAGAACCCTGGGAGCCTGAGGAGGCTAAGGTGCCTACACAGCAAGCCATCTTGGTCCTTCGGCGGATCTTCGCTACTCTTCGTCGGTTCTCGGGTCCGGCTCCCTTCTAGATACCCTTGTTTGCCCTTTGGCGGGTCTTGACCATGTCTTCTCGGTTGGAGGGTCCGGTCCCTGCAAACGTCAGGCCCAGCCCCTGCGTGGGCCGTGGCAGCCAGATCGGCATGTAGTCCACCGTGATCCCCAACAAGAGCGGTGCCACCAGAGTTCACAGGGAAAGCAAAGGGGCCTACAGGAAGAGGAGAGGGGAGGAGCTCGCCTGGCTCATCTTGGTCCATTTGCGGATCTTCGTCACTTTTCATCGGTCCTCGGGTCCGGTGCCCCTCTAGGTACCCCTGTTTGCCCTCGAGCGGGTCTTGAACACTTCTTCTCGGTTGACGGGTCCGGTTCCCCCAAGCAACACTGTCGCTAGGACAAAGAGGGTCGGGAGAGGATATCTCGGACCCTCGCGGGCGCTCTCGACCTGCTCCCTCGCCACCATTGCCGTCACGATGATCAAGGGCATGGCTGCGCATCGGGGCACAAGTGTCAGCTTCGTGAGCGGCACCCTCACAGAAAGAAGGGTCGGGAGAGGATATCCCGGACCCTTTCGGGTACTCTTGACCTGCTCCCTCACCTGTGCAATCAGCGAGGCAGCCAAGGTCCTGGTTGAAGTAGTCGAGGCTCTTGCCAGTGTCCTGCAACACGGGCTGGCCGTCGAACTTCTCACGAGCACAAGGTAGGCCAAGCTCACGGCCCATTTGCCAGCAGTGGCTCCCCCAAGGAGCACATACATCCTGAGATCCAGACAGTGACTCGTCACCGTCTTGGGCATTCTTGCCCGCAGTGGCATGCACGAGGCAAAATGCCCACGAACAACGCCACTGATTCCATGTCGCCTCGATGACAAGGTTGAGGCTCTTGAAGTTCTTGAACCGCTTGCTCCAGGCTTCGCAAAGCCCGGCAAATAGATTGCTACATGGAAGAAGCTTCCCGCCCGTACCCACAACGAACAGGAAGCTCGATTTCAAAGGATGCACCCACGAATCATCGGGATCCTCACCCCAGAGGCCCACAAGTGTTCGCGACTGCATCTCCCGGCTGCAAGGTTGAGGGACCCCCAGCCGGTCATCTTCTCCAAAGTTCATGAGCATATTGGTGGCCGGGCTTCCATGCGAGACGGGAGCCATGGCTCGACAACACCACCAGGACGCGCTCAGCACCTGCCCTCTACAGGTCCCGCCTTTCGCCGCGTGGAGGCGGCGTCCTGTCGGGCTTTGAGCCGAAAGGCTTCTGAATCTCGCCGTAAACCCTGTCGAGTGCCCTTTCGCAACTGACCCCATTCGCGAGATCCCCAAAGCATCCAACGTAACACTGAGAGAAATCTGCTGGGGGGAGCAAAAGCAAGAACCCCCAAACCAAGTCTTACGGTATGGTTCTGACAGTCCCATCACAAGAACTGGCCTCTGGCTGCGTGCGGTGCTTTCCTAGTCCCAACATCTCTGCGCTTAGCAGGAAAAATTCCCGAACCCAAACCCGGCAACCCTTGGCCTATCTTCCAGAGATGGGCTGATTTCAATCTCTTCAGCGGGTGCTCCTGAAACAACCGAGGGAGTTTAGCGTTTAGGGCTCGGAGGTGGTGCGCTTCGGACTTCGGATGAGGGCTTCAGGTGGAGGGGCCGTTGTGTAGGGCCTGGGGCCTCTTCTTGGTGGCTTAAGGTTCTTAAGTCTGCTGGGCTACAGAATCCCGTCTCAGTGAACCCCAGCTCTCCCAGCGTCCTCAGGTGAACCGCCCGGAACTCGCAGCTGGGCCTGCAATGAGAGATTCGAGAGAGTTCAGGTGAGTCTTCAGCCTCTCGGCATCAGGGTTCAGGGTTTAGGTTTTGGGGTCTAGGGTTTGGGTTTAGGGTTCGGGTCTAGGGGTCTAGGGTTTAGGGTTTAAGGCTTGGCGAACTGACAACAAGATTCAACACGAGTCTAGGACTTTGGAGTTTGAGAGTACCCCTGTGAGGCTATGGGATCTCGAGTAAACATACGTTCGCTGCCAAGCCGTGGAGGGCGTCAGCAGAAAGTGCTTAGGGTTCCTCATTCTCCGTATACCATAATGAACCCCGAAGCCCTCTGTCCAACTGTCAAGGCCATATCAACCCTAAACCCCGAACGCTAAACCCTGCAAACCGTACAAGAAGAAACTGCCCGGGAGGCGAGGGCTGTACTACTCGAACGGCTGTCGCCCAAAGCCAACAGCCGAGCCCAAAGTCTGTTAGAACCCGAAAAAACCTTGACAAACCTTTCAAAGAACTCTATGATGCGCTTCTTTGATTGAAAGCATCCATTACGTGAATGACCACCAGGCCACCACAACCCTGAACCCCTCCTTTAACCAGACAGTACCGTTCTGGAATACGAATCCGTCGCTGCCATGTCCTACTTGGAGGATCATGCGACTTACTACCTTAATTGGGGTTATAAGTATAGTTACCCTAATTGTAACCCTAGTTACTAATTGAAGCGGCCTTGGCGTCACCATGCAATTTGTCTGGGAGCTCGACGATGGTGGCGTTCCTTCAAAGAAAACGTCGCTGCAAGCAGGGGTTGGAATCTCAACCGTGAAAAACAACAATGTAGCAAACAAGTTCAATCATGTATTCTAATACCACGTACTGTAATATACTGCAATATAAAGCAAGATAGTGCGATATGAGATTGTATGGCATAAGACAACATACCATACACATATACAAGATGGCATTATAACATACAACATATAGCATATAGTATATGACATATAACACATAGCATATAGCACCAAACAAATAACATTTTACATGTTATAGCATCCAACATCTTTAACATATCATATAACATGCAACATGATAGCATGCCATATATATATATATATATATATATATATCATATCATATAGCATACAACATGACACCCAATAAGAACCTATAGCGTGATACAAAGCACCTTGATATGATATGATGAAGTACAGCAAAATATAGTATAAAATGATACACCATAAGAAAACAAAATTACGCAACACGCCATAGTTCTGCAAAGCACCATATGACATAACATAGCACAGTACAACACGTGTAAATTATACAGCATCATACAATGCACCATAACATATTACAACGTAACATAACATAATATGGCTAATACACTATGGTGCTATGCATTGCACATGAAATTTCAACAGAACATGATGTACGGTAAGAACAGATAGTAGACTACACAATAATACAGCAAAGCATATTATGTTGTTAAAGTATGTTGTATGTTAGTCTATTTTAATATAGTCAGTACTGTACTATATTGTACTGTACAACACAGCCCAGTATGAAACAATATAACGCGGGGGTTCCTAGCAAACTGTGGGTTGACGGGAAAGGTTTTAGGGCATCGTTTAAGGTTTAGGGTTTAGGGTGTGTAGGTATTAATCGTACAGCATACTGTAAGTATAGTCAAGGACCATGAAAAAGCAAAGGATTACCAATTACTCGGGCTTTTCAAGCTCTGAAAGTGGGTTTCACCCTCCAACCTACGTCTTAAAGGCACTAAGATTTCACGTCCCCTACGGCTTGGGCGCTTCATGTTCTACACGCCGAAAACAGAACCGAACTCCTGTGCCCCTACAACTCCCAGAAAGGCCAACTCTCACAACATTGAACTTCTGCCACCAGCGACAAAAAGCCTCACTTCCCGTCAAAGGTGAAGCTTGAGGGGTTGCGCTTCAATATTTTGTGATCCGTTTCAACCACGCACTCTCCAAGCTTCACCTAGCCAGTGTTACGTTTGAGGTTTAGACTTCATGGGTCAGGGTATGGGGTTATTCAGCTTCAGTTCCGACCCCACCATGATCCAGAGCGCTGAAGTGGCAGATTTGTTTAAGGTTTTGCAGCATGCGCTGTTGAATCCATACACCACCATGCATTAGCCCGCCCAAGCTTCGTCAACAGCAAAACCACATATTTCGTAGAGGAATGTACCCGTCACAGAAATTGGATCAACAGCCCTCGACCTAAAAAAACTAAACCTTGCCTTTACGGAATGCACTCTCGGACCATTGTGGCTGACGTAGGCAACACTCCAGTTTGGAAAGTCTCCACATGACCCCGTTTGCAATCTGCAACGCCATCGAAGCCTGAGAACAACCCTGAAGAGAAAGAAAGCCACAAAAGGCAAAAGCTTCTCAATTTCGATACATGACAGAAATCCTTGATGGATCCCAACTTTGATCATGGGCAAAAGTTCGCGTAGCAGCTTCCAACGAATGTGCACACAAGCGCAAGTTAGCATGGATCTGGTCTAACAGGTGGTGAACTCTGTTATCGTATGGTGAACTCTGTTATCGTATCTCTCGCAGCCCTACCCGACTCATCCGTGTCAGAAGTAGCAACCGCCGCACTGTCAATCGAACCATGCGCAGCCCCACGGTGGCTCTGACGGGAGAGCCCCGGGCCGCAAGATCAGTCGTACAGCTGTGGATCATGATTTTTCTCGTGATGTCTGAAGTTCTGAAAGGATCGACAACCTAAGGTCCACCCGGCTTGCACTGACCCAAAGAGCAGGAGTTTGGATTGCGACCCTTTCTAATCCCTCTCCATGAGGTCCCTTTTAAGAGAGCCAGAAGTAGAGTTAAGAACGGTCCCCTTCAGAAAATCGGCCTAATGCTACCTAGGAAAGAGCCTTCTTCGAGGTGCTGGGCCATGGTCAGTACCGTAAAGAACTTTGAGTAACCATTCTAGATACCGTTGTAAAAACCCTCAGAGCAACCATTGTAGATAGCCTATGGAAACCTGAAGCACCGGGAATCTAGCTGCAAGAAAATTCTCAAACCCTAAACCCTAAACCCCCGAGGTCTGCCTCCCGTGGCCAGGAAGCTGGCCGCGGCGCAAGATCTCCACCCATTGGCCGACCACATAGTCCGAACTTAGAGCACAGCTCTCATTCAGGGTGTTAGGTTAGGATGGTTTGGGCCTCAAGATTTTTTGTATTCGCTTTACCAGGGCTTTGTATGACGGGCACTGCTCCTTTCTCGTGGAACACACATCCTCCCAGTTCAAGTTTAAACTTGTTGGCCGAGTGGCGTTTGACATTCCACCCCTAAACCCTATGCCCCAAACAGCACCAAAACCCGAACTCAGTTTGCATGTGGCGTGTTTCGCTTGGCTTTGGCGGCCACTTCTCCCCCCCCGGTGGCGTGGCGGCCCATCTTTCCGGATGTTGCTTACCCGCAACTACCCACACCGTCCCTGCACCTAGCTTCTAGAGATCTGTTGAAACTGTTGAGGTTTTCTAGGGCCCCTGGAAGGCCTGAGAACCCTTCAGGGGCCCCCGTCTCAGTGTTTCGGCACCCAGTTGCAACTGAGACGGTCGTCCTATCACCAGCAAGAGCAAGACAACAAGGTCAGGGCGATGCGAAATCCCTACACTCAAAGCGGGACAGAGAAACAGAACCTCCAGCCGGTGAGACAAGTCTTTGTCGATTCGTCTCTGTTTTTCTTACCCGTTTTTCCTACCGCTGCCCTCCTGGCCCCCTGGCCTTCCGGCCACCACCAGCCTGTTCTCGCTGAGAATGCAAATCTTCCCCATCTACCCAGGAACAAACAAAACTACCATCCGATCTTGACCCAAGCCGGGGCTTGCACGCCTGAAACTCGAACAACACACCCAACACCTGACCCTTTGCACCCATCTTCATCGTCATCAACATCTGAGCATGTCTCTTATCGTTCTTCTTAGTAAGTCGTTTACAAGTAGGGTTCTAATTCGGGTAACTCCATTTAGGGTACTTATAACTCTACTTAAGGATCCCTTAGTTAGGGTCCTCTTACTCTTGGTGTTTGCCTGAAGCTGAAGCAGCACTACTTAAGGGATCAGGGGACTTAGTAACTAGGGTTATAATTGGGGTAACTATACCTATAACTACCTATAACCCCAGTTTTGGTACTTTTTACCGTACTTACTAAGTCCCATGATCCTCCAAGTACCCCTGCTAGTCCGAGCCCGAGGCTACTCACTGTCACTGGGCTTCCTGTAACAAGGGCCGCGGTCAGAGGATTAGAGTTTAGGGTTTCGGGTTTAGGGTTTAGGGCTTCAAGTTTTGGGGCTTTAGGGATCAAGGGAATCTAGGTTTCGGGAAGTCCCATGATCCTCCAAGTGTGTGTGAGTGTGTGTG